AAAAATGTTACCCCAGGATCGCCTTTGAACCTTCTGAAGCTAAAGACGTGTATCTTGTATAGTTCGGGTGTCTGAATTTGCACAACACGCACTTGCTCTGCTCACTACATGTTTATGGCGATAGAGAAAATAAAGTGATTTTACAATATGGCTTCATTGTTATCAAACAAAGTAAAAAATAGCACAACGAAAAAGAAGAGTTGTAGGTGAAAGTATAGTCTGAAAAATTACGGGTAAAAGAAGCAGGATGGGGAATAGATGCTCATATGGCAAACATACCTCTTGATTACTCAGCAGCCGTAGAGTACCTTCCAGCTATTGGCAGTATACGAGCCGTTGCCGGGAGGTGAACTTTTTTGCCATTGACCGTGTTGAATCGTCTTAGAGACGGGTCAATGGGCTGCGCGGTCAGAAAAAATGTTCCCTCTCAATATTTTTCGCACAAATGTTTTTTATTGTCTTGACAAGCTGTTAACTGAAAGGTGAATACCTGTTCTCTTGCTATGCAAGCATATAATGCTTCTTGCTCTTGTTGTGGCCGTCCGGCACGACCAAAGAAAAACATAGATCCGTTGAGACTAGGCACGATATCCATCCGATTGTCAGCATTTGTTTGATTTTCCATTAATACAAAGTGGCCCGTTACATGCTCCTCTCTGATTATTAGCAATGCAGCCATTTTGTTGCCTTAAGAAATCATAAAAGTAGAACGTACAACCTTTTATGATCGTTCGCCTCCTGGCGCAGACGCTGACCCACACGGTGATCAACCTTACAAGATTGGCAATGCCCTTGACAAAGCTTGTATCGCCATTTATGTCGCACTTCACTGCGTCATTGCTGTGACGGCCTATCCCGCTGTCTGTGTGACGTGGAAAAGGTTACCGCCCCGCTGCCCTGCAAACCTGAGGACCTTGCCGAGGATGAGGACTTCATGGAAGTGCATCGTATCCGACGGGCCTTCCTCATGATAAATTCCCTCATTCCAGGAAATCCCGTCCAAAATTTCATTTGGAACCTGAAATTAAAAAAAAATTGCCGACTACATGAAAAGCAAGCGATCAGCAAGAATCGCATTCACTTGTGTAGGGCTCCGCTTGAGTCTTCCCACAACCAGAGAATTAACTGTGCCACACGGTGTGCTTAATGAGTTTAAATATTTTGTTTACCTTGAATGTCTATTAGGGTTAACTGACGCGCCTTACTTGCAATGTTGATGCCAAATAATGACAAGCAAGTTTCATATCATCACTATTCTAGAACATATATCTAGGTGGATAAATGCTATTCAAGTGGACTCTGTTTCTATACCAATATTGAGCGTCATGTCCTCCATTTTTGTTACTTCGGGCAATCGTCATTTTCATGCTACGCTTAGAGAAATGAAAACACAGTCCCTAGATTGACTGTGTCAGCGCCTACTACGCGTCTTCATCATCAGAATCTGCCACGTCCCCGTACCTCCACATCCCGATCCGGCCCCTCCGCGCAAGTTCTTGCGCCTCTTTCATTTCTTCCACCAGATTTACCGCCGAAGATTTGCCAAGTTTTGAAATTACTCCATCTGCTTGCTTGGAGAGTCGTGCTAGTCCCTCCTCTACCATCAACTGATTGAATGTTTTCATTGAAGTTGCGGGAGAGGAGTCCTCCCCTTTCTCCTGCAAGGAGACCAAGAGCGTTCCCCTTTCCAGTCCGAACACTCGAGCCCGGAGTACCTTCCCATAGGCCAAGCGACTGAAGGCCACGGCCGCTTCATGCCCGAAGTCATCTTTGAGACCTGGCGCCCGGAGGAAGGCTAGCTTCGCTCTCTTTGCCTGCGCAGGCATGGCTGTGAAAGAAGCGTCGAGGGTACGTACTTGCGACCTTCCCACTATAGCCTTGTTTCCGTAGTCAATGAACGAGACCATAAAACCCCCTCCATTACTCATGGATAATTTGTCTTCCACACGTGCACGGTACCACAAGGGTCCGCTTCCATCATCGAAAAGCGCAGCCACGATGTTGCCCTTACGAGGTTCAAAGGATATTGCATTTTCACTCCTACCTTCAGCTCCCAGTGCCTTCATTTTCTCACCAACTTTCGCCAAAACTTCCGTATTGCTGGCCTCCTGGTAGTAGAAGTGGACTCCATCGACGATCTCACTGACACTGACCTCCACCGGCTCCTCGCTCTGTGCGACCGTCACTTCCTCCTCTTCCTCCGCCTCCTCCACCGGCACTGACCATATGCCTCGTCTGGCAGCTTTCGCTGCTACCTGCGCCTCCTGTAGAGCGTTGACAAATGACGCGGGCAAACAAGTCGTTCCCCTTTCATCCACTCTGGCCAAACCCAGCTTGACTAGTTCGAGGCCGAAAGGCAAACGTTCTCCTCCACCCGTTAAGACCGATACGCTACCTAGAGCCACACCATTTTTATCCATGTCCGCAAAGGATACTTCGATTGTGCGCTGGTGCAGATGCTGACGTGCGTGAGTCTTGGCATCTTCTCCAAAGGGATCGCCGGCGCGAGCGTTCTTGTCTCCGGGCACGGCACTTCCACGAGGAGGGTTAGGGGTCCGAAGAGAAGTCAATGCCAGCATCACGCTGCAATTTTCAGAGGGTATGTAGACTTTGAATCGTGATCCCGAAAAAACGTATTCCACCACTGCGCGCACAGCTGCCTCCCGCTGCAAGTGCGGCAGATAAGAGCGAGCCTTTTTAGAGTCCAAGCTCAAATCAGTCACGCGGGGGGGGAGGGGTGCAGGTCCTCCCGAAAACATTCCCTTTTTCCCCGCTTTAGCCGCCGTTTCCGCAAAGAGCAGGTCATCATAATTCTCGGCCCGTCCTTCGTCTCGGTGCCGTGTCACAACAGCCAACCCCTCCTTGACAAGCATCTCCGCCACACTCCTTTTTTTAGCTCCCTTACCAATAACGACCGAGGCATAAGACCGCTTTTCCTTTCTTTCTCCAACGGCGATCTCCCTTTCATACTCTACCGTTACTACCACGCTCCTTCCAATTATCTTCTCCCGCAGAAATTCTTTCGCTTCGGCTGCCCAAGGTTCCCCCCTGTCTCCTTTTTTGACGTTACCTTGACGCGGAGCCCGAAGCGAGGCAAGAGAGATTTTCCGCTCCTCTCCAGCCTCCTTTCCGGTTTCTACCTTGACTACAAGCAAATCTCCACCTACAACCTCGATCACGGTGCCCACGAACTCTTTCGAGCCTGTTACGGTCGGGGGGACATATCCTTTCCAAATCCTCAGCTGGGCAGCTTTGGCCTGTCGTTCCGCCAAGCGATATTGCAAGACATTTTCACGCGACGTGAAGTCAATAGAAAATTCCACAATACGCGCCAGGCCTGCCTTCAGGAGCTCAACGGAGATGTTCCCTTTGGGATGCGAGATTGTGCCATACAGCGTCCCATACTTGTCTACCCCGCCCACTACGACGTCCACGTCTCGATGCAAGAGGCGAGTTTCCGTAAAGTTTCTCGACTCTAAAGCGTAAGGCTCGGGCTTGGACGCTGTGCCTGCAGCGACTGTTGTTGCACCGGCTCCACCATCTCCAGCCGCAGAGGCTGTTTTTGGAGGGAAATTGACGCGAGGGGCTGTAATCCCGGCTAGGGAGAGATTCACATAAGTATGACTATCTAGAACCAATGCGCGAAACGCGCCACCGTCGCGTACATATTCGATTGTCATCCGGGTGGGCTTGCCCTTGATGCGTTGCAGGATAGCCTCTGTGTCGACGCCCGGGCCCCACTGAACTCCTTCCCTAGTTGCCCCTTCTCCTGCTTCTCCGGCATGCAAACCCTTCTTTTCTGCAAGTGCCTCAGCCTCAAGTCGCACCAGCTCCTCCAACTCGGGACTAGCCTCGCTCTCGTTTCCTGTTCGAGGAAGGCGCACACGGGCCCACCCCTCCTTCACCACTGTGCGATTTAAACTTTCTCCATTCAAAGTGATGGTGCCGAACTCCCGATTGTTTAACATAGGCACGGTGTAATCGACCTTAAAAGATACCTGAAAGCCCACGCAGTGGCGGCGCAAGAACTCCCGTGCGGCCCACCCCCATGGCTCCTCCTGGGCCATCCCCGTCGGGCCTCGTGCCACACGCGGCGCCATGAGTGAAGATAAAGACATCTGCCTTTCGGGGGGCGGCCCGCCTGTAGAACGGCCTTGTAAAATGAGCGTATCTCCGCTTACTACGGCCTTGACAGTCGCACTTCCTTCAGCCATGTTTTATTAAACTCGCGGAGCTTCACGTAAGCGGAGAAGAGTTTTCGTCGCCTGCGCATGAAGGACACAGGGTGTGAGTGTCGGTCACTTTTCTGAAAAGAAACATTAATAATGCATGATTGAATATAAAGGACCACAGATAAATCACCACTCCAGCCTTAGACATACTCACTCTAAAAGGGTGACAAACTACATCCGAGACCACAAGAAGTCTTAGAAGGACAACGTGTGTCGTCTCCAAGCTTGTCCACCATGTGCCTAACCAACGCACCGATTTTAAAAGGTGACAGGACTTGCGTGTCACGCTTTTCGGTGATGTGTGGCAACGAGACAAATCTCACCGCACGCGACTGTATACTTTACAAAAATGACCCGGGGTGGGGCCTGAAGGTTCTCCGACTATTCTTCGCTCAGCCGCTCGCGTTGATCCCGGCGATGCATTTAAGGTCGAAGTCCCAGCATGCCAGGAAACACAAACCACGAAGTGAGGGTGCACCACAGGGATCATTCGGAAGAGTGATTGATATAGAGGGCGATTTGCTACATCGTGCAATAAGTGGGACCTTTTCCTGCAGTCCGCTCCATCGTTTCGTGCTTTTGGGCTCAGCCTCACGGTCACTTAAACGTTCGTCTCTTGGGCCCACAAGTGCGCCACTGTTCCTGAATCATGGCGCCAAATGATACGAAGACATGCTCATTTCATTTTCTGAATGGATGGCATCCTGCGTCATTTAGGAAGCAAGATAACGCCTTACTTTATGAAATGACTTCTCCCCCTGCTTTCCTCAGGGCTCCTGCAGCAAGAACCATGGCGAGTGGCGGAGTCGGATCCAAAGAGAAGACCGTAAAGCCTCTAGGCTGGATATGGTTCACGGGGATTGTGTTGGGCATAGCAGCGTGCCTTCCATACGTGGTCGAATTTATGTGCTCGAAGGCATACGCGACGCATCGGCACGGTGTGGTGTTGGTAACGGATGCTACGTCGCCCGTGGGAAAAGCTACATGTCTTGCTTTAATGGAAGATGGTTATGCGGTACGATTGAGGGAATGGTCACAGAGAGATGTAAGGGTTGGATAATGGATCACTGCCGGGAAGGATTTTATGTGCAATGCAATCCTTGGCAGGATATTTCTCACTCTCAGGCTCTCGATGGGTTGTTGGGACGACTACATTGAGGTGAATATGGAAAAGAGTAGGCTCATTCAGAACTCACGGCCAGGTATACGGCGGAGTACGGAGTGCGTCAGACGAGCGCGTGGTCACAGAGCTCGACTCGAGGAAGCTTCTGCCCGTGGTGCTTGACATGCAGAACCCGGGCACCGTGGAAGCCGCGGTCGCCAAGGTAGGAGGGCTACTCGTGTGGAACGCCTATGTACTCAGCTTTACTTGGCTCATGTCCTGAGACTGTTTCTGCGTCGGTAATTGGTACTCTCTTCCTCTTCTCTCTACTCACTACCTTGCTCGCGACTTTCCCACCGGTGCAGGTCAAGTCGGAGCTTCAGGGACGACCGTTTACTGCACTTGTCAATACCATAGACGCTGGGGGCGCTATCAGCCCGATTGAGAGCCAAGACTTGTCATCTTTAAAGCGCCTTTTTGATATCAACACCTTCGGCACGCTAGCGGTGGTGCAAGCTTTCCTCCCTCTCATTCGCGAGCATGGCAGCCGTCTCGTTCTCATGTCCTCACTCTGTGCTCACCTGACATCGCCCTTATTCGGAGGCCTGTGTGCGAGCAAAGCTGCCCTCGAGTCCTTGGCGGACGCCCTCAGAAGAGAGCTCGCCCACTACCGAATCTCGGTCTCGTCCATCGAACCGGCCGTGGCTTTCCCAGAGATGCCCGAGGGAGGGAAGGACACTGGGGCCAAATCGGCAGCAGCGGTAGAGCTAGACAGTAAAGTCTACGCCCACTTGTTTGCTGACGACAAAGCTCGGGCCCTAGTCTCTCCCAGTGCCAATGGAGGAGAGGGAAGACGCTCTGGGACAGCTGTGGCGGAAGCTGTCGCGCAGGTCGTGATTCATGCAGTGTCAAGCACACACCCGAAGCTCCGTTATCCTGCCGGATACATAGGCCACCTTCCCGCGAGTGTGGCCGCCTTTATCTCGTGGGGCCTACCAGGGCGCATGCAAGATCTGCTCTTGGCATGAGGAACCTGAGGAGAAGGGGAGGCTCGAGCGAGAGAAACAACGAGGGCGGTTCAGCCGAATGAGACAGACAGAACATCCGGGGGAAGAGGGAATGGGTACACAAGGAGAAGGGAAAACGTGGTGAGGGAAAGGCCAGGTCAGCTTCAGCTTGAAACCACCACTTGCTTGTGCTATGAGTTGTGTCACGTGTTTCTTTTTGCATGAAGGAGGTTTTATACAAACTGTTTAGGCTGAAAATGAGAGTTTAGCCTAGCGACGGGAAGCAGAAAATAGATAACAGAACAATCAATGTGACATCGTCGCCCACGTTGGGAAAATGTCGGAAATGCAAGCACTATGCTTACTGCTTACAATGAGACGCTTCCTTCCATATCGAACTCCTTCTTCTGTCAATTGCTGCTTGCCTAGAAGCCCTAGAGTGGCAAAAGGCGCGATTCAAGCCAAAATGGTCTACCCTCCCCTCTTTACAATATGAAAAATCCTACGTTGGGGCCAATTTTAGTAATAATTGATCCATTCTTACTTTTTACAACAGCTTCTGTGTCGACCTTTGCTGCGATCCTTCTCTGCAAAAGAAGACGTGCGCCAGGCGACCTCAACTATGTACAATGAGCACCTTTTCCGATTTGTATTTTTTCATAATCCTTCAAAGTGGAACGCCCATGTAATTAAAATGATCGTCGACCTTGAAGGCGAACAAGAAGGAATTGGAGCAGTAAAAGTCTTCGCCAGTATCGTCACAAAGCTAAGTGCGGGGAGGGGAAGAGGAAGCGGATCGGCAAAACGGTACGATCTTGGGGTTTCATTTAAAAAAAAAATAAAAAAATGGCACTCGACGGAGCGCAGTTGATGCACCTCTGTATGCCCCCTGCGCACATGCCGGGAGAAGGACGGAACGCATCTCACCCACGCCCGTCAGGACAAAGCTGCGTTGATTCTTATCCCAAACCGACCCCTCCTACTTCCATACCTCATACTTCGTTTGCTCCTCGTTATAAAAAACCTCCGTCGGGGCATGCCAGAAGCCGAGCAGTATCGGAGGGACATGAGGAATAGGGTCCTGGGCATGCACAACGCGGTAGTAGCTCGTAGGAGCATCTTGACGTCTAGTTAGGCCGATGAAGTTCATGGCGAAGGCTTGATTGCCCACACGAGGTTGTCCTATTGTGTGGAGAAAGTTTTATTTTCCGTGAATTTGATTGCGGGCATGATACCTGAAGAGGCACGCGGCAATCTCTCTATTCGACAGGAAGGAAGTGATCTTATGCCACGGACCATATGTATAGAGGGCTTCTATTCGCACGGCACGATTGCCTTTGAGATCAGCAACTGCTAGCATCGCCAGTGCTCCGCCTAACGAGTGTCCAGTGACCCAGAGGCTGGCACGAGGAAAGCGAGCCAGGGCATAGCTCAAGGGTTCTAAAAAGGCGGGGGCGAGAGCCTGTTACAGCGAGAGACGGCAAGTGCAAGTGAAGAAGAGTTGACTTCCATAAATCTAGAGAGAAGCGAAAAAAGAAAAAAGATATTGCATGGAAAGCATTCACACCTGCTCACCGGGGCTTTACCTGATAGTCGGCGTAGAAGCCGGTGTGCACTTGGCAACCAGCATCGGCACAGGGTGTGTAGCCCGTTAATTCCCCATTCAAGTTGTTCGCCCAGGCCGCCAGGTCCCCTGCCTGCGTACCAGCAAAGACGAGTATGATCTTATTGATGTCAGAGTCGTGCACGACCAAGCCAGATACACCTGTTCCGTTCACTCCGCCGGAAAAACGGAATGCTTCGGCGTGACTATGCAGCTGACAAGAGTTGCAGGACCAGTTTCCGCAGCCCTCGAGAGAGCCACAGGAGTAAGCAGCAGCACAATATTCTGCCATGACCTTGGCAACCACCTCATCGTACGCGGCTATAGAGCAACTTGGAGTGTCTCCATGCGTTGCAGTTCTTGGAGGAGGTTGACGAAATTCCACAGCGCATCCAGCGGCAAGCAGCGACAGCAGAAGAAATAGAAATGACGCATGGTGAGTGCGGATGCAGCTTAATACTCCACGTCGCATGATATTCCGGAAATCCAGGGAAAGCTGTGCATGAGTGGGGGAGAGTGCTGGCTCGTGAGTGCAGTGTATGTGTATGGGGCGAGACGTCCGCGATGAGCGAGGCCCGGCCAGCCGCTGACCGTCGAACTGGCGCGGGCGGGGCAGGGAATATTACGACTTACTCAAACAATCGCGCCATTCAACACACAAATGACCCTTTCTGGAGGCTTCAATTAACTCTTCACGGTCTCAGTAGATGAGCATTTGCTCCGCGCCGTGCAGTTTGCATGCACCTGAACGGTACAACCTCCCCGTCTGCTTAGCAGTTCTCCCTCGCCTTTTCACCTGCAAACAACTACACTTACAGATGCATCTACCCACTTTCTTGGTTTTAATTGCTTCTTTAACGTCGACATCCAGCTTCATGATGACCCCGCTCAGTCGCCATGCGGCGGGTCACCTGGTTAAGGCTGCTGTTGCCTGCCGCCCCGGGATCTCGCAGGTGAAGATACGTTATTAGTTTGTCATCGTGCGATACAACCAACGGAACTAGATGTCAAAGGTCGCGACATCCTAAATTTCAAAGAGCACGATTCCTTCTAACACGTATATACGGATTAGATGGCCGTCAGGCGTGGCAGCCCGCAAATGAAGGAGCTGATCAACCGTCAGCAGCACCTGCGCAGAGCTACCCTCGGTAGCTTGCTGGGGGGGTTTGCGCTTTTCGCATCAGGTGGTGGTGTCGCGCGTGCAGAGGATGGCTTTGAGACCACATCCTCCGGATTAAAATATAAGATTCTGAAGGAGGGAACAGGAGCAATCCCTGCGGCAGGCAAGTTGGTGGAGGAGGGAAGGTTTTCGTTGTCGTGTCGAGGCACTGACTGGGTATCGGCATGGAAATCGAGAGTCCACATTGTGTGCGGGTCTGCATTTAGGTGAAGAAAAAATCTTGATGAGCCACTTTAGAATTAGCCAATTCAAGCGGTGATACTTTTCCCCGAACCTTTGACAGGCCAATCCGTGAAGGTGCACTACACAGGATGGCTCGACGACTTCGAGAGCCCCAAGAAGTTTGACTCTTCCTACGACCGCGGAAAGCCTCTCTCCTTCCGTGCAGGTGTCGGACAAGTGATCGCAGGTTGGGATGAAGCATTACTGCAGATGAAAATCGGCGAGAAGCGGAACGTGATCATCCCCCCCGGGCTGGGGTATGGAGCGAGGGGAGCAGGGGGCGTGATCCCGCCCAACGCTACCTTGTACTTCACCATGGAGCTCAAAAGCATCGGTTAGAATAGTTCTTTTGGGTTTTGGGGTAAGTAAGAGGCGTCCGGGCTTGAAATGAGGTTGAAAGGGGATAGAGAGCACAGAAACACAGGCAGAGTAGCAGCGCTGGGCTGCCGAGGAGAGGAGATGTCGAGGTTCAACTGGACAAAGACACACGAGGGAAGCGGGATAAGAACAATGGCCCATGCCGTGAAGGCAAATCGCTCGAGACGTTATTTTGAACCTGCATGAATCAAGATGGTGTCGGCTAGTAAGACCTCGCTTCCCCTGGCTTCCACTTTATTGAAGTAATCATGTCTTGTGTTTTAGAGCTCCCATGCATTTTTGAACTCCCACGCAAGCTGTCCACCCTTCTAAGAAATCAAGCGTCAATTTTCATTTGTTGTCCCGGCTGTTTCCTAGAGCCCCAACCGGATATTTGGCAGCGGGGATACTAGGAGGGCCCTGCCATCCCCACAGCCGACGTCGCCTCCGCCCTGCAAATCCCTCCTCTTACCCTCTTGAACCAAGCGCTCACACCATCCACTCATCCTTCAAGGCTTTCACTTATCCCAAGCATTTCAAGCCGGATTCATGTCTCCCGGCCTCAACACCCCCCGCCGAACCTCGGTCCCCAGGGGCTAGGCCTTGGCGCCACCGACATACTCCGCCAGCAACTTGGGTCTATTGAACCAGGACGAAAGCTTAAGTCCCCCGTCCACCGGTATGAGCGCGCCGGTGGTGAAAGAAGAAGCGGGGGAGGCCAGGAAGAGCACGGCGTGAGCGACCTCCTGGGGGGTCCCGATGCGGCCCATGGGGTGGGACTCGGCGCGCAAAGCCGCGTAGTCTATGACGGATTTGTTTTTTCGGGCTGCCATAACGTCCAAAGCTCCCGTGTGAATACAAGCAGGCAGGATTCCGTTCACCCTAAAACCGTCTTGACGATGTTTGAAGGCCAAAGTCTCGATGAGAGCGTTTTGAGCAGCCTTGGCCAGGTTGAAGGGTGCCGTGTCCGGCCACGGAACATGAGATGCGAGGGAACTGACCATAACGACCGAGCCACCGCCTTCAGACTGGCTGAGGTAGGGCGCAGCGGCAGTAGTTAATAGAAGAGGTGATAGAACTGCCACGTCGTACATGAGACGGTAGCTGGCCGCGTCAGTAGGATCCAGGCCCAAATACTCCGAGTAGCCGTTGCCCCCACTGATGATTAGTACGTCCAATCTGCCATCTAATAGCTTGATAGCATCAATTAACAATGCTCCCATGGTCTCAGGGTTCTTTAGATTACCTTCTAGACAAGACAGGCCAGGTAGAGGAGAATTACCGAGCTTTGCAACGTTCCGGCCCACGACCACAACCCTTGCGGCGCCTGCATCTAAACACGCTGTTGCACATGCGTACCCAACCGACGAAGGAACTGTACCGCCAGTAACCAGGCACCTTCTGCCACTCAAGTCTAAGACCATATTGTGGCTTGTAAGAAGTGCCTGTAAAGGAAAAAAAAAGTAAAATATATATCAAATCGTACTTCGGATTTTACATGGCGCTTTAAAATACGTTTGACCCTGAGAAAAAACTTTTCTGGCTGCTTAGGACCGTATTCTCGGTCGTCATACCGATATCAAGAAATCTATGTAAATAGTTTGTGCCGATCCCGATTTCAAGGATGGTCGCTGATCAAGAGAAAGTTGCAGGCGGTTCTAGGCTTTTTGGGACATCTTGCAGGTCCTGATCCGAGCCCACCCGGACGATGCCGCACCACGCAGTAGGTACACACGGACACTGCGGCGGATCTCCAACCTCCTGCCCCGTCCAGCCCTCGCTCTCCTCGCTCGCGCCGGGTCAAGCACGGGCAGCCCCTAGACTTTCCTCGAGAAAGCCGAGTCTTGCTCCTGCTCCCCGGGCCTGTGAGATCTCCCAGGTGGAATTTACCTCCCCGCTCTCAGCAAATCTATTCCAGCTCAATGATGTTTTTCGGTTTGGCCCCGGAGGAATGCAGATTTTAATTGTCGCTCTGTTACACAGACCAGGTTCTTCCTCCACTGCTTTCCAATCTCTCTTTTGGACGTTTTGAAGACGCACCCCGAAAGACAGGCTCAGGTAGTCAGCATCGATCTACATGGCCAACAGTGGAGCAGCACCGTCATGGCTAGATGTACGTTACCAATCGGGAGGCACATCCCGTCACCGTCATTTCTTTTTCATCGCCCCCACGTCACTCACCGACTCGAACAAAACAGAATGAGCAGCAACCAGCAGTTGTCCGATCCAGCTCGCCGCCAGAAGGAAGCTCACAAGCCACTGCTGCCTCGCAGCTGCATGCGGAATCCATCTTGTGGGTAGAGCACGTGCACGAGGGAGGAGGGGATGCATGAATGGTGATGGAGGAAAGGTAAATAGTGATGATGCTTTTCTTCTTACACCATCCCCCTTACTCATGATTCTCCATGATAGGCCATCCTGCGCAAAATATGTGGTTCCGCTGTCTCGTTTCGTCAATATGGGCCTCGCGTGCCTGATGGCTTTTTCAGCAGTAAACGGCATTTTAAAGATCGCTCAATTACAGTTGGACACATTTTTTGTCGCTCTCTACATGTTGTGAGTAAGCAAGCGACTTCAAGACTTTGTGTGAGAACTGTATTTTGTTGCTCTCAATAATTTGTTGACGTCCCTCTGCTTCTTTTTTCAACAGTATTTTCGCCGCCATCCTCTTTTTCTTTGAGCTTTGTCAATTTAAATACGTTGCCTTCATTGACAACGTTTTCCGCAGAAACTTCGGATTTATGTATGGTTCGCGGGGCAAGGCGCTTTACATCATCTTGTAAGAGAAAAGAAGAGAGAACGGACGGTGAAAGGACGGATTGGAAAGTTAAGGCCTTCAAAAGCTTAGTGACTCAGCAAGCCTCAGGTGCTAGTGCAGGAACACGTGCGAATGGCTTGTCATGACATTTGGAAATAATTTTTAATCGCCTCTTTCTTTTCACCCGGCTAGCATTGCCTTTTTGAATTTCGGCCTCGTCAGCACAGGCATCCTTCAATTCGCAACTGGCATTGTACTGGCCGTCGATGGGGGCCTCATGCTTTTCGCGACTTTCAAGTATCCTACTTTATTTTCAGGGAACGAGCCGGCACTTCCCTCAGCAGGAGCATCGCATCCAGCTGCCGCGGCGACCAAGGGGCCGGGCTAGGAATGTATGCTCTCAGGTGGATGAAGAGAGGAAGCAATGCGAACGACGGTATCGAACTATTTGCTAGCATGCGGGTAAGGCTTTGCTTCTGATGTAGCTGTAAATTTCTTGGCGCAGATCTGGAGGCAAGGGAATGCGGAAAAAGTCGTGGCGAGTGGGAGAAATATTTGTGCTCTGTGAAAGTACAACATGAAACATTATCTGAAAGTATGGGAAACTGATGGGCGGCTTCAGACGAAGAGCAAGATGGGTTGTGGTAGGCACCCCACGACCAATACGCGATTCTCATCTAACCGTGATATTTTGCCAAAGATTCCACTCATTGCGCCCTTTCTTGAAAAGTAGACCTCACGCTTCGAGTGAACTTTAGGTCTATCGCCCACTTAGCTTGATTGAGCAAGCCCCCGTCTCTTCACCTCATTCTCCCACCTGTTTTCCATCCTACAGTGCTGACATAAATATGCGCGTGCTCTCATAAGTCTGGCACCTATGTCACATTTTTCTAATTTTGACTTTACTTTCTTTAAATCGCAAATCGAGAAAATGCCTCGTACTTCGCAGCGGTGGTCGCCCTCCAAAGAACCTACCTGTCCCT